ACACACACACACACACACAGTGTTAAGTGTTGTCCCAGTGGGGATCCATTTATCTCAACACAGACTAACAAGACTGATCAACTTGCGTAAGTGAAATCTCCATCCCTTGTACTTAATGATATCTACATTGCAATTACATCTCTTTGCAAACTTGAGAACTTTCCTCTGTCACCAGAATAATGTTTGTATAGCACTAAGTCACATCTGTAAGTCATTGTGTACTCTGAAGATGGAGTAGTCTAAGCAAGTATGATTGATGAGACCCCCTGCTGCCAGCCAGCCCTTCTCCTCCCGTCCTGAGCTTATCAAATCCAAAGACTCCTCTGCGCCTTTCTGAGAAGAAACCTGACTTCTTTACTCCCTCAAGGTTCCACTGATCACCTTCAGTGAAATAACTCCCAGATTTACAACCTCCTCCTGACCTTCCAGAGCTGTGGGTGACTCAAATCCCTGACTGCCAGACATCTGCACCTCCTTATCCTTCTGACACCTCAAACTTGTTTCTGAAATAAAACTCATCTTATGGTCCTTTAAGCCGGTCCTTCTGGACTTCCTTTTTGGTCTGATAACTGATCTGGGAGTGATACATTGTGTGTGTTATTGTGAGCATCCAGCAAGCATCTATTGAAAACTTACTGTGTAGACAGCACTCTGTGTACAGTGAAAAGGTTACAAACCAGAATCAAGTCCCGAAATAACTCAGGTTTAGGAATGGGAGATGAATTCCCTGGGTCAGATGGGAAGGAGGGACACAGTCAGGATGGAAAGAACAGGACCAGCTTTTCAGGGTTCCCATCTGCAGAAGATACAACTGCTCTGGGATTCCTGTGTCCTGGAGGCAAACTCTACTCAGCACACAGTTTCATCCCGCCCTCTGCTCTCATTTAGCACCTAAGGAAGAAACACACTCATTCAAGAAATGCTGTTTAGTTAATGAATAGTGCTTCCATTTCAGCATGGTGATGGCTGTCTCATATCAGGCACCTTCATCCATCACCTCTGACTGACAAAACAGGTATCAACTAGAATTCTCAGTTGCAAACGCCCAACAGAAGCTTGGGATGATTTCACAGAAAGGAATTAATCTTAGAAAAATAGGGAAACTCGCAGGATCAATAAAGCCAGTAGAGCAAGGGAGGCTACAGCTGAGCTCATTACCACCATCAGGACTGGCCCAGGGATGCCAGTTTGCTCCTTCCTGGAGATGCCGTGATGCTTCTGCAATCCAGCAGGTCCCAGACTGTGGGTCCTGCCACTGCGGACCAACTGCCTTGTGATATCTATGGTTCTACAGACTGCATCTAACTTCCTCCCACCACCTGTCAGATTATGACTGTCTGGGGACATATCTTTTGACTGACTGAGCCTAAGTGACATCTCCCCTCTTCCGCTGGAAGAATAAATTCCTATCTAGCACCAAGAGGGAGATTGTAAGACACAAGGAGTTAAAGTTTGGGGTAGTCACAAGCCACACATATGCCCCACCCCCTTCCTTTGAGCTTTCTTTTCTTGGAGAGCTGCTCTCTCTGTAACTCCGAGGCTTGGGCCTCTAACTCCTTTATCCTTTCGCCATTAATTTCTGGTTCCCAGAATTGGAAATAATCTCTCAAATGAGGTCTGACAAGTCTGAGGTATGATGGAATTCTTTCGTTCCATATCACAGCCTGTTAACTTACGTTCAAGTGTCTGAGGCCTTGAGGGCTTCCCTTGGCTGCCAATGCTATATGGATGACACATGTTGGCTCCTAGTATTCTTGCGGTTGACTGAATTCCCAGATATTTTTATATGAATGGCTGCAAAGCCAGTTCTTCCATCATTTACTTACATATTTGGCTTATTGAATATGTGCAAATTTAGCTGAGTAACCTAAAACTGTATTTGTAATACTTCAACTATTTAGGCCACACCCTTGAATCCCTTTATGGACTCTCCTGGGAGCATAACGAGAACTTGAAACTGAAGGTCTTTGGGCTAATCTGGCCACGTATTTATTTTGGCTAACTCCGGGAATAGAAGTTTTTGTCAACCACTGACCCTCAGGAGGTATAAAAAGGCCTCCAACCCTCTTCACAGGCAGGAAGATATCACAATACTCGACACCGTTTCTTCAGAACAGTGAATGAGCGGCTGCAGCAGAGGAGTGGTTTTTCCTTGGGAAGGCAGAGATAGCTCGTCTCAGTCCCCGCCATTGCCTGAACCTAGCTGCTGAGATGATAAGCATGTCGGGCCAGCCTTTGCGTGAGTTTGGCTTCACAGTGAGCTACAGCGAGCTACAGCGAGCACTGGCTGTGGTAGGTGATGAAGCGCAGAGTGGAAACACAGGAAGGCCAGGCGCTATGGCGTCCAAAAGCTCTGTATTTCCTCATCTTCACTTTGATGATGCATCATGAGGGGCTCTGATGGCAGAGATGTCCTGGCATCCCAGAATGAACATCTGTTTTTGCTTTTCCGGATGCTACTGCCGGGAACCCATACTTCCTTTTCCGGGTAACATCAGACGATGCTGCCAGATTTCATATCATGTCTTGCTTCTGTAGACACTTGGCTCAGAGAGGGGTCACTAGCCCAGGCCAGGTGACAGGATTTTCAAATTTCTCGTCAGCCCACGACAGTATCAGATGCTCGTCTTGTCAGTGGCTGATGCTAATCGCATGCTATACTGCTGGATCCAGTGCAAGCTTTGGCCATGTTTTCTAGCATGTGGTATCTGGTGCTGGATGGAGGGATGGAGGGAACCACTACATACAAGGGAGAAGGGTAAGGTTCAGGGGACTCTGTCTGCTAGTGCAGCTCTATGGGCCTCCAAGATATTTTGCTCCTTTAAGATTTTTCTGAAGTTAGTTTCTCTCTTGTATCTAAAAGTATCCAGGCTGTATCATCATGGACAGGAACTTTGTTTTCTGCCGATCTCCCACTGTGCCTGAGGGGTGGGCTTACTTGCCCTTTCCTGGGTTCTGATCAACACTCACGAATCAGGTATTCTGGTCTCTCACAGGTTCTCCTTGGGCATCTCTGAGAAAAGATGTGTTTTCCCTACCTTACTCCCATCATAAGCTAGACAGACAGTTCTTACACCCTCGCCAGTACTGATGTAAATGGTCCAGATGTCGGTGGAGTAAACTATCTGCTTCCCGAAATTTCCAGAGACTGGCAGCATGATAGGAACTTAGAGTATCTGAAATTAGGGTGCCCAGGACTGCATTCGGATCATTACTGGGTGAGACCGTGACATTCTTTCAATCATTCAACAGATATTCCCTGATCACCCGGCGTGGAAGATACTACACTGTAAAAGACACATAGCTTATAGCGACCACTCTGCAAAGCATATGGTCTTTATGTGTTTGGGTTCTGTGGTCACAAATTAAATCTAATTTAACGGCTTCATAAGAATGAGACCCATTTTGTTTACATGTGAAATGAAGTTAGAAAACAATTATTTCACAGGGTTGTTTCATAAGGTTGATAATATAGACAATATTCACAATTATTTCACAAGGTTGATAATGCAGACTATCCCGGCATTTAAGCATCAGCACATTTTATTTTATCCCTAAAAACTAGGAAAGTGACCGCTCAGCTTCACAAACAACAGGATAACTCAACCGGTAGGAGGGACATCTACACCGCTTCTGATGTTAGCCCTGGCTTCTCCCTGTCGTGCATCATCCAGTTCGCTGGATCTTTGCCTGTGCCAAGCTCGAGAGTGTTGGGAACACAACGGGGACACCAGGGGGCAGCACATGGCAAGAAATCTTGGACGCCGACCGCAGCCCACCGCCAAACTTCCCTGCTGCTCCGGGTCCTCGTACGTACTTCCGTCGCTCTGACGCTCCCAGAAACCCGGGCATCGGGAAGGAGCGCAAATTCCCCCTCCTCTGAGCCTCACGAGGAAAAGCTGGAACTGGGTTCGCCAGAGCACACCAGAGCGGGCACTGGAGTCTCTCACCGCGCCGCCAGGGGCGCGGCGCTCGGCCACAGTGTGCTGGCGCGTGGGCGGCGGCGTCAGTCTCACATCGGTGATTCTGGAGAGGGCGGCTGGCCTCCAGAAGGAGTGGTCGCGGCCCCGAGGGCCACCCGCCAGCTCAGAGCCTTCCCCTTTTGCCTCAAGGGACATCCCCGCGCCTAGACCCACAGCTGTCACTTGTGCATGCTGGCGGGAGAGGGGGGGCACAAGCTCCCTGGAGTCGTGCAGAAGGATGCCTGGGTGTCGGATGCGTCCCCAGGCTGCTCTGCAGAGCTGCCGAAGAAAGCAGTCGGGATAATGCTCCCAAACTTTCCTTCGCGGCCGCATTGAGAAGAAACGTCCTTACCCGAAGCTCGGGGAGAACCCAGAGTCCGGCGTCCACAGGGGACAGGGCCAAGGCTGCGCAGGGGAAGTTCTCCGGAGCCCCGGAGGTGGCCTAAGGGGAGAGCGCCAAGGCAAGAGAGGTGTCCGCTTCTCAGTGACTGTGACCTCTCCTCCCCCCCCCCGCGCCCGTGCTCGCGGCCGGGGAGAAGGTCCAGCCCCGCTGATTGAGCGAGGCGGTGGCGTTCTGGCAGCCCAGGGGCGCATGGAGGCGCCGAGGGGGGCTGTGCGGCTCGCCTGCGGC